GGAGTAACAGTAGCATTAGTGAGGGGGATTAACCGTGTAAGGAAAACAAGGAGTGCTATCAGACTTGGATCTTAGTTTGATTGCACGTATGAAAGCTGAACTAATTCCATTCATTTTCATGGCATGTCACTGGAGTAAAATAATGTTAATTGGGCCCATATAATACCTAATGGGGAAGAAAATATGTATTACAGGTAAGAATTATTCTGTTTGCTCTGTTCACCCACACAATATTCTCCTGTTGATCTCCACAGATCGGGAAACTGTACAGTGAACTGGATATGGCAAAAATGAACGTGAGAGTCATGTCATCAATATTAAAAGAAAATGCTCCTGGCTCTGAAAATCCAGATGATATGAATCTTTTACAGGTATTTCATAATTCATTGATAGGGCATATTGTTTTGGTTAAGGGTGATTTTAAAATATGTTGCTTCCTTTCCTTTAACATCTGGATTCAGATTGCCAAATGGAATCCAACAACAGGTTTAGGTCTCTGGTTTTGCTCATGTTTCTTTTGTTTCCTTCACCTTCCTCTGACATCAAGATAGTCAGGAAAGGACAATACAGCTTACAATGCAAATTGAAGCTCTAGGGAATTCCAAGGGCAAAGGAATTTCATAATGGAGCGTTCTCTGTTAAGCATGTTCTGTCAAACAGCCCCGAGAACATTCCAGTTGATCACAGTTGCCTTGTGGGAAAGAGATGATGACACAGTCCTGCTCTCATATCCGTCCTGGAGTTTGCAGTGCTCTCTTTATTATTACCAATCCCTCAGAGGAAGGCTGAAGGCCAGTGCAGAATGTGAAGCCTTGGTTTTAGGTGTGTGACCTCAAAGATTAGGGAGCTTGCTCTGCCATGGATAGGTCCACACACTCTCAAAGTGTAGCCTGAAGGAAGTGTATTGCAATAGTCCAGTTTAGATCTGACAGTGAACGTGTAATGTTCCTTCTGTGATGTCATTTCTTCCACTTCTCATGCTGTATTTTCTGTTTTAGAGATTAGAAGTGGAGGCATTACTTTAGCCTTTCAATAGACCTATGCCAGTGGTCATTTTTCTGTTTCATATTGTCTGCAACCATTTAAAAAGCTTTTATCACACCCTTCTGTTTCTAAGCTTATCTCCAAAGTTCCATGGTGAGGAAGCATTTTTGGCAATTTTACAGCATTAAATGTTTTGGAGAACTGATGTAATTTTTGCAAACCTTGAGTGCACTCCTTCTGCCCAGTGCAGAAATCTTCCTTTGCAAGTCACCCTTGCTGACTGCCATGGAGAGCACAGTGGTTTAACATGTTGGGTCACCTTTGTCCAGTCCATGACAAGGGAAGTGTTTCTGGTTGGGAAACAGGCAAAGTGTGTCATTCTTTTCCTGTCTCCTGCTGTGGCCCTGCTGCACGTGGGTGCACAGATTCGGTTGCCCACAGTAAACCAGTGGATTCTTACTGACACTCCCAGTAATAAAATTGTTGGCAAAAGGTTGAGCACAGGGTGTGGAGTTCCCATATGTGGGAGAGTGACTGAAAACTCATTCCTTTGACTGTTGTTCTTTCCATTCTTTTTCCCCTGTGCACTTAGAGGTATAAAGCATTAGGCATGGCCAGTCTGTTCCTGGAACAGTGTTTAATGTTCTCTTTTGTTTATGGCACTACCTGGATGCTTGGATTAAGCTTTTGTTGTCAGAGAAAAAGGAGCTGCTGTTTAGGTTTTGGGTAAATTGGAGAGGTTAATTTCAGTCCTGATTACCTGGATTCAATAAAAGTGTAACAGGGTGAACTTGATCACTGCAACATGTTTTCGGTTCTCTGTCTTCATTAGTGGCCAGGCTCCTCCCGTTCTCCACCCTGTTTGGGACAGGGCTTGAGATACCAGATCTCACTTGAAATAATGTGCAGGGCAATAACAGTAGTTAAAGAATACCTCAGCATCAGCCAAGAACAGAAACAAACTTTTGTACTGGACAGTGAATAGACAAACTAGATGGACATGCAGGAAGTTGGGTCCAGATCAGCAGCTGGTAAGAATTAGCACAAATGTATTGGAATCACTGGGGGTTGTTATTCCAGCTGGTAGTCCTTCAATGTAAAACTGCAGGTTTTTAAAACAGGAGAGTGCATGAGGAGCAAAGCCTGGCAAATCCGTGCCTGAAATGAGTGTCTCAATTTCCTTCTCTATGAGCATTGATACTTGCAAAGGAGCTACTCTGCCTGTGAAATGGAGCCATAAGAAATGCACATTTTTTTAAATGCAGATCAGGTAGTAAAGTGTGGAGTCAGGTTTTAAATGTAATTACAGGCATTAAGCTGAATACATTTTTTGTGTATTTTATCCTGGGCTGTGAAGATAACAGTACTGAAAGGTACAGTACTCTGTAATCAGGTTTGGCAAAGGGGTACCAAATTTCTTTTTACATAAATAATTTATTTCCAGGAAGTATATTTTTTGAGAAAAAAAATCACTTTGAAAATAATCCCAGAGCAATTTCTCAATAGCAGTGTGCAAATAGAGTCATTTTCCCACTCCTTTTTTTGTTTCCTTGAGCAGAGCCAGCCAGCATTTGCAAATGCAGTGGAGGGAAAAAAATGTTGGCTGAGCTGAAGTTCCTGTTGCTAAAGAATTTGTTTCTTTGAACATGCAAAATCTGCAGAGGAGAGTAATATAAACAAACTGTCTTCCATTTCAGCTGGCAATAATGGAAAATTCTGCTCAATAAACTCTCCTAGTTCTCCTATCAGCTGATTCTGTAAGGTTTGTGTTACTTTCTCAGAAGTGCATTCAGACTTCCCCACGTAGAAGAATAGTTAGAGCTAGAGACTTGAGTCTCAGAGCACTTCTGACCTTCAGACTACTATTGTCTTTTCTTCAAGCAGACGTTGAACAGGATTAAATCCAAGTATCCTGCTGAGTTTAATCAACTTCAAGCAGGATCAAATCACGTTTGCTTTACATCACCCAGAGGGATCTTTGTTATTTTGCAGTTTGTAATTTAGACTTTAGAGACAAATATGTCTTTAGAAATGAAGGTGGGTGAAGAGGTAGGGATTGGGTAGAAGTGGTGGCAGTGAGGGGAGGGGTTGTGAACCTGCATTGCAGAGATCAGATGTGAACATTATGCTCTTTGCAGTGTTGGGAACATGTGTGGTTTGTGTGAATTAAGGACCTGTGAGTCTGCAGTGCTTGATGTCTTACCCTTCGTGTCCAGAACTGAAAAACCACAGTTAAAATTTATTTAGTTATTTATTTTCTTCCCTTGCCTTGGGCAGAAACTATATAAAACCTGTCGGATGATGCAGGAGAGGATCATGGAGTTGTTGGTGACAGTGGAGAACGAAGATGTGATAGTTGAGTTAATACAAGTAAATGAAGATCTGAACAATGTCCTCCTGGGACATGAAAGGTAAGTACAGGGGCTCTGTCCTCATGTCTGGAGTCCTAACTGGATAAGTGCACTTAATGGACAGATGGTGTTGTGATTAAGTGATGGACACTTAATGGACACTAAGTGCTGGACTATGCCTAGAGTTGATTCTCCACATGGAGACAGATTTTATCCTTAAGTCTAGGAAAGAAACATGATTTCAGAAAGAGAAAATTATGTATTTGCTTTCTTCTAAACCCTTCAGAAACAGTTCAGGAAGGTAGTTAGAAAACCATTAGAATGGGGTAAAACAAGTTTACAGCATAGACAGGAAATCAGATGGAGTCACACAAAAATCACTTTGGAATGTGACATTCCTTTTTGGTAGTGCCCCAGTGAATTTGTCATCGGTCTACTACAAAAACTTTGCTACTGGTGGTGGTCCTTACCTCTGTTAAGTGTCTGTGCTTCCAGGAAAGAACCTTGTTCTCCTTCCTAAACAGCTCTGACAGCTTTACTGCAGGAGTTGGCCAGGGAGCAGCATTCTGCCTCATTGCACGCCTAAGAGAGTCTCTTGCTGTTCTCAGCTGGATTGAAACACACTGTTCTGCTTGTCTTACAGCAGAAAATGTTTCTTTCTTTCACACATGAAAGCACTGCAGTGCTCCCATTGACATCCTGGGTGTTTGCTGTTACGGCATTGGCAGCATGACTAGATGCTAGAAAAACTGAAATCAATTATAAACTCAAAATTCCAGTGTTATCCCCCAAAATATCACGTTATACTCATCAACAGTATTCTGATTTAATAGGAGCTGCCCCTCCATTGTAAGCAGCTGATCAATTCCATGGCTAGGAAATGTTCTAGAGATCATTATGCATCAAGTGCTGTGGTTCATAATTAAATTTAGCAGATTTATAGAATTTAGTCATCTTTTCTTTTTAATCCTCATCTGAATGCTGCACTGAAAATATCAGTACTTCTTCCAAGTGTCACAGCACAAACTTTGGGCCTAGTCCTGACGATATTTAGTTCATTTGCCCTTAAATCTCATGTCTACAGAAGTGTTGGTGTATTTTACAGCAACTTCCTTGACAGAACTGTGTGGTCACTTCTTGCTTTAGGAAGTTTTTAATTTAAATAAGCAAAAAAGGAATTCTTTTCAGCTCTTGTAAACCCACTGAAGTCAGATATGGACTTCCATTTTTGTTACAACTGATGAGTATTGGCAAAGCCAAGAAGCTCTTGAATTGTGAGTAGTAGCTTGTGGGTATAATTCATAAATTCCTCTTGAAAGACTTGAAAGGAGCAATTAATTTGCCATGATGAAACTGGACAGAAAACTAATGCATTCTAGTACTATAACATTATGATTTTTATATAATGAATCTTCCTAGGTTCATATCCATTGCACTTTAGAGCTGATAAGTATGAAAACATATTTGGTTAATTTGGATCATCTGAACAATGAGATGTGTAAAGGGCAAACTGACTTGAACGAGCTGCATCTTTTTCACACTCTTTTGAGGCCAAGTCATGCTGCATTCTCTGCTTCTGATTATTAATGTAGAATCCAAATTAAATCTGGAGCAATCTCAGTTGTGCAACAAAGAGCCTCATGTGTGTAACTGTGCCTCCCTCTAGTGGCTCTGCAGCTCCTCAGTTCTTCCTGGATTTCGCATAAATATTCTGTGTTCTGCAGTCGAAAAGGTTTATAATTCTGTTCCTCTGTGCATCTGTACTCCCTCTCTCTCTGTCTCACTAGTTTAGTAGCCCCGAAGAGCAGATGCAGTTGTATAGACAGTCTCATGTCCGTAGCACTTCAGGCTCTTAGTGCTGAGTCTGTGACCTTCTGGATGCTGAATGTCACTTAGGGGGCTCCTCTGCACCCACAGGAGCACTGTTAGCACTCCTAATACACACACATTTATACAGGTAGATTTTTTTTTGTTCCCTTTTCTTCAACAAATATTTAAAATGCCTGAACTAATGAGAGGGATTTGTGCCAGCACAGGGCTGTAGTTCATCCTGGCAGGGCAGGAGGGAATGCAAACAGCTCTGAGGACAGAAGAGCCAGGGACTCAGCTGGAAGAGTGTTCTGGTCAGAAGGAGGCAGATTTGGCACAGTGCATGTTCAGCACCTGTGTGGGGTGAAGAGAGGCAAAGCATTGTCAGCTGTGCCTTGGGTTTGTTTTGGAATAGATGGCTGTGTCCAGGAGTGAGCCCCGGAACAAAGCAGGTGATGTTAGTGTAGGTGATCCAAGGACCACAGCCCTGGGGAGGAGTCACACTGCCTGTGCAGAGACCAGTGCCCCAGACACAGCACCCATAGTGCTTGTTTGGTGCCTCTGGAGTCCTTGGATAATCCAACTTTGTTTATAACTGTTTTCATATTCATCTGAATGACATGACAGAAATGTGAGAATGAACATTTAACTCTGCAACTTCAACAGGTTCTCTCGAAACAGAGTTCGTTTTCTGGAGAACCAGAGGATACAGCGTGAACGTGCAGAGGTAATGATGGGTGGACTCATGAACTGCAGGACTGTAAACATTCCTCTTGCTTTTCATTGTGAAAAGTAACGTTGGATACATGCAGGATTTTATTCTCTAGTTGGGAGGTACAGGAGACAAGAGACTGATACTAGTTACTGGTTTGCTGAAGTCTGACTTGCAGAATTTCATGTAACTAAAGGAGCAAATAATGTCAAATCTAAGCTGGAAGCTTGGGCAGGAGAAATGAGAGAGGGATCTATCCAAATGCTGGTTTATTACCTCTCCAGCTAAGCAAATTATCTGCCATACACAAAATGAGAAACCATAATGTTTCTTTTCATTAGTTCTCTGTTAAGCATTTACAGACTGAAATACTGTTGCACTATCAGAATTCACTGTCACTAATATGTTTTTTTTTCCTGAGTCAAAGCTTTTTCTGAGTTGAGAATAATGGTTTGCAGCAAACCTTTAATGACTATCCTTTATTGATTGATAATTATGGTTGCTAATTATATTGCCCAATGTAGTTTTGCACATGTTTCAGCTTCTGCTGAGCCATAATTGTGTAGTCAGCTAGGACTCAACATGAAAATGCACAGTGAATGCTGAAATACAGCTGCAATTATTAAAAAAATGGTAGAAAATTACCTTGTTTTCCTTGAAAAGCCACTATTGCTACATTCTGGTTATGTGGGTGGATGGTTTTGTTTGATGGATGTTGGTATTTAATAGCCCAAATGGTGCAGTCTGTGCATTTTTGTATTATTCAGGAGTCTCCAAGTTTAAAATGCATCATATTTATTTATTTATTTATTTTTCATCTGGTGTGACCAAACCTGCATGATTCAAATGTGGTTTTATTAAAATCTTTGGCTACATGTTGTTTAATTACAACATATTCACAGGAGGAGTGAAGGGAACCCTTGAACATTTCCCATCCAGAACAGGACTGAAAAAAATCAGTCTCCTAAGTATGTATCAAATCTCAGTAACGTGAATAAGTAGCATGAAAATAATTGCACGTAATGAAACAGAGAATCAGTACCAAACCTGTGTCTAAGCAAGCTCACAAAGGCTTTTTAGAATGGAGTCCTTTCTATTTGCTACTCCAGAGTTGTTTTTCTGTATTTTTTGAACCACCAACCTTGCTGAAATTGATCTTTCCTGGAAAGCATTTTTGTTTCATTAGCTATTTATCACACACAAGTCCTGGTCTTCTCTCATACTTGGCAGTTTTTCATGTTATGATATTAAAAGTTGATATTCTGTGAAAATGGTGATTTATTTAAAACTATACAAGTTCTTTTAAAACAAAACCAACCCACAAATAACTTACTCTTTCTCAAATGTTAAGCAGTACAGGAAACAGCCATCTGCTCCCTCAAGTGACCTACTTGACCTCTCCATAGATTCTCCATCCCCTGTGCCGGCAGTGGTGCAAACTGACTCTGCAGTGTCTCCTTCAGGCCTCAGTAAGTGATGAATGCTCCTTTCCCAGCCAGTCTGGTTTCCCAAAATAAACCAACAAGAGCTTAGAACCATAGAATTTAGGGGTTGGAATGGACCTTACAGATCATCCAGTCCCAACCCCCTGCCCTGGACAGGGACAACTCCTCACTAGATCAGGTTGCTCAAGGCTCATCCAGCCTGACCTTGAACACTGCCAGGGTTGGGGCAGCAACCACATCCCTGGGCAACCTGGGACAGTGTCTCACCACCCTCACAGGGAAAAACCTTTTTCTCACATCCAACCTAGACATTCCCTCCTTCAGTTTGAACCCATTTTCCCTTGTCCTGTCACTGCAGTTCCTAACAAAAGAGTCCCTCTCTGACTCCCTGTAGCCCCTTCGGGTATTGAAAAGTTGCTATGAGGGGATGATTCAAGAAGTTCCTTGTAAGAAAGAAAATATAGTTACTCCTTACCTTTAAGGATGTTCCTTAAATCTTCCTAAAAAGAGAACTGATGTGTGTACATAGGAGAAAAATGTAAGGTAGTGTAAGGTTCCCTGTAATTTGTTTGCAGTGGAAGCAATAATCTTTTCCCCCTGTTATGTAGATTTGAGCAGTAGAACATGCTCTGTTTTCTGATCCAGTGAGGTCTGTAAAACAGTCTGGTAGGTTTGGAAGAAAGAAACACAGATAGTCTTTTCTCATCCCCTCTTCATGCACGGAGATTTTTCAGGAGGCACTTGGTGTTTAAAAAGACTTGGCTTCAGGAACCCTGAACTGTTGTTTGCAGGAGCTCCTCTTTTATCCACTCTGGGGAAGTCCATGTACTGAATTCAAAGGTGTGAATGTCCTGCCAGGAATAAATGCCTAGAATTCCATTTTAATCTCTTAGAAATAGTGAAAAGAGTTTCAAGTGGTATCTACCACATAGAGCACTGCTGATGTTGTTCTGACATCTTCAGCAGATAAATATCTTGTATCCAACACTTTGCAGAGTTAGTAGCATTTTGATTTTCATGTGATGAACAGCAATTCATTTCAGACTCTTTATGGCCCTTCCAAACAGAACTTTACTCTTCCAGTGTTCAAAGTACAAGTAACTAACATTTGCTTAATAATGTTTACATGATCGTTAATTATTGCTTTGAATTTCAGATTCCATATCTGCACACCCTGAAGATAAAAACAGGCATCATCCATCAGTTTATCCACAGTTGGAGTCAACAACTCCTACAAAAGCTCAGCAATCCCTGTGAGTAGTCCCTTAGCAAGGAATGGGAACAGAGAGCAGATCCTCTGAGGTGTCAGTACTCTGTAGTTCATCTAATGAGTACAGAAAGCTCTGAGAGCACGGATTTATTACTTTTACACATTAGTCCAATAAAACAGGTGAAAACTACCTGTGTGCTAGACATTGCTTAACAGGGTTAAAAATACACCACTATTGCAGCACTGCTTAGTCATAGACACAAATGTATCTTGACAGGCAAAACATACTTGAAATACCTATGAATTTGTTTGAATGCTGCAGTGACAGGGAGAAATGTGAATTGCACAGGTCATAAAGAGTTCAAGCTGGGAGAGGTGTCCTTGTATCCTGACCTATGTGAATGGGGCACTGCCCCACCTGCCTGTGCTGCTCTCAGCTGTGTCATACAGGAAAGACAGACCAGCAGAAAAAAACCATAATAATAATAATAATAATATAGAGTTTGGTTTCTTAGTTACTTTGGTTGTATTTCTCTCTCCTAGGTTTGCAACTGAAGCACAAAACAATAGTGTAAGCAACCCAGCTGGACATACATATAACAATGTGAGTAATACTCATGTTCAGAATAATCATTCTTGTCTGGCAGCTGTCAAAATGAGAACTGTTTCTACCTGCCCTGACTGCTGTCCAAACGGGACACAAAGATCTGCTCTGTGGCCCTTCTCCACACATCAGGGCACACTGCACTTGATGACCAGGTCAGCTTTCCTCTATTGATATCACAGATGCTAATATGAAAGGATATTTCCATGGGTGCAGCACAATCCCAGGGGAGTTGCTCTGTTATTTGTGAGTAATTTGTTGCTGTGTGAAGTTGAGGTATCTTTCTGTTGCCATTATGTTACTCTGGTGCATTTCCTACCTCAAATAAGATATTTTATTTAAGAAAAAAAGAAGACCAAAAAAACCCACAAAAATGCAACCCAGCAATAAAATCAAATACTTAAAACCCATGTACAGGGTAGGATAAATGTTCTGCTGCAGAGAAAAGACCAATGAGAGAAGGAATGCAAAGAATATGAAGGGGCTTCAAGGTGATGTGATAAATTTGCATGCTGTTCTGTGGTAGGCAGTACAAACAGAGAAGATGAGCAGCAGCCCCCAAACACATGCATTGTTCTTATTTTAAACTGCAAATAAAAGCAGATCTTTCAGTCTGTGTAGTGCAACAAATGGCACAGAAGTAACTTGTACAAATGTCCTATAGATAACACTAAAAGATGCTTTGAAGTTTGTGTGGAGAATGCAGATTAAGTGGATTGCTAACTGTTGACCTCTGACTTTTACCTGGATTAGTCTGAGAGTAAAGAGAAGTCAGTAGTTATATAAGTTAAGTCAAACCAGTTCTCCTAGCACAATCTGTTCATGCATTGTTTTGTTTAATGTCCTTAGCTGCCAACTCTCCTAAGCCCAGTGCCTCTGCACCCAGTAAACCTGCAGGCTGGACAGACTACACCATTGAATGGACCATCACCAGCAGGTAATAACCACTGCAGGTCACCTGTTTCATGGAGATACATTTTTCCTGTGAGAGCTTAAGGGCTGTGGAACATAATAGCTGTTAAAGAGCAGCAACAGCAACAAGCTCTCATATTGCTCATGACTTCTCTTAGGCATCTAAAGCTGGATCCAGGGCAGCTAATCTGCTGCTTTCAGGAAGATGTAAAAAGTAACATGCAGCAAACATGGTTTTCATTCACATTTAAATCTGGGTATGTCTGCCTGTCTTTATTCTTCAGCTGCATCAAAGAACAAGTCACAATCATCTCATTACTACGAGATAATGGAATTTGATCCTTTGGCTCCCACTGAGTAAGTAACTTTCATAGAATACAGTTAATATAAAATACATAGAATACACATAATAATACATATATTATATATATGTATATATGTATATAAAATAATGTAATACATAGTTTAGTAGGTACAGTTTTCTTAGGTGCCAAAACCAGGTCTTTGTCTCAGGAGTGAGATAACAGACCACACCACTTAGGCTGAGTTAACTGACCAAATGGATCACTGATGTAAATGACAGTGGCTGCAGTTTGTCCATTATCTCCAATATTT